AAAAAAAAAAAAAAAAAAAAAAAAAAAATCACAGCCTGAGGGTTGAGGGACCCTGGAGGGAGACAGCAGAACCGGATGTCTGTCCTCTGTCCTCTGCCCACTTGCCAGCTTTCAAGCTCTTTATTGGTCCTGTGGATACTTCTGGTTACTGCATTTGGTGAGTGGAGAAGAAAAGAGACCCATTTGGGCCCAGAGCTCTTTAAAACCAAGTCACCAGCTGGCCTGGAGCAGGGCAGTTCCGGTTGCACAGGAACCAGGCAAGCGAAGCTTCCTCCAGACATAAAAGTTCCCTTCACTCTGGACTCCAACCTCCCAAGAACCACGAAGGAGTTGGGGACCGGGGCCTGTTGGTGATAGTGAGTGACTGCCATGTGGAGCCCTTGGGAGGGGACTGTGCCAGCTCCATTATGGTTACAGCCCTGGGCTTGGCATTCAGGCTGGCTCCCTGGTGAGTTGGGGTGGCCGCATGCCAGGGGTGCTGGGGAGGCAGCATCGTGGGGGAAAAGAGGGAGAAAGGGCAGAGGGAAGAGAGAATTCTGGCTCCAGAGTATGCTGCTTTGGTTTTTAAAGAAAGGATAAAAGGATGCTGTGCAAGGAGAAAAAGAAGAATAGAAGGACAGAAAGAGAGACAAGGAAGAATGAGAGAAGAGAGACAGGAAGGGACAGGGTAGGGACCGGGAATAACCAGGACTGTGTGGAAAGGGTGGCATGCCTCAGAGATATGGGAACAGCCCAGGGTTCAGCAAAGGCTCTGAACTTGGCCTCCGAGCTCGAAGGCCAGGCTCCTCCATACCGTGATCCAAAGTGATCAGGAGACTGGAGGTGGGTTGTGAGGACAGAGGCTCTGGAGACCTGTAACAATACAGGGACAGCAGACACTGAGGGTGAAGCCCCATGTGGAGAGGAACCAGAAGGCAGAGGACCTTGGTACCCAGAGCCAAATCCTGACTCCACCACTTGGGAACAGAACTTCAATTCCTTATACCTCTGCTTCCTCTCATGGAAAAGAAGGTAATGATTGTTCCCATTTCATGGTCTCTTTCTGCAGCTCCAGTGAGGTGATCCAGAAAGCTCAGAAACAGGCCCAGCATCAGGTGAGCACTTAGATAATTCTCTATTAACAAATTCTCCACATTTCTGAGGATGTCAAGTGCCCATCTAAAAACTGCCTTTCCTGGTTTGCTTTGCAGTCAGGGTAGCCCCTGAAATGTTACAGGTTTATTGTGTGGGGCTTCCAAGAAATCTCTTTAAATAGTGCTGACTCTTCTCTCAAGATCATCTCTTTCTTTCCTCCTTCATGATGAAAATGTGGACATAATGATTTGGGCTGTGGCAGCCATTTTGAAGCCCTTGAGGTAACTTTAAAGATGGACACCATGTTCTGAATGTGTTAAGACAGCAAGGGAGAAGAATCCTGGGACACAGGCCACATTGTGGGACTACCAGTCCAGCCTTGGACCTCCTATCTCCACGAATCCTTTGAGAGAAAAACAAATCCCTAACTTGTTTAAACTCCTGTAGCTGCAGGTTGCTGTTAACTAATTCTACTAGGCAGAGATTGAATAGGTAAATAGGTTTTAGACAAGTTAGAGATATGCAGACTGATAGATCCAAAATGAGTGGCTTGTGGACAGTGTGTGTGCTGGAGACATGTTTGAGAGACAGGTCTCAGAGGTCCTGTGACCTGTCCTCTGGTCCACATTATCTATCAGTGAGTCCAAGTCAGCAGGTGATTCTATTATTATTATTGTCTTCATCAAAGCAATGAGAACAGAGATGTTCTAGATGCCAGCACTGGACACAGCTCCTGGGAATCAAAATCCTGCTGTCTGGAAAGGAGGGAAGCCCTTACACCAACTACCAGAGCCAGGACTGCTTATCAGCAGCCTACAGCCACATGGGTGGACACCGATATCACCTGCATGGGCTGATGCAAGCTTTTAAGGATGACACTCAGCTTCCTTGTCTACACAGTGGCCCCAAAGACCCTCAAATGGCCACTGCTATGTCAGGGTAAGCAGAAGGAGGCTGAGGGGTGACTCTTATCCCTAGACCTCCCTATGTCCCCTATGGCTGGCATAGGTCTTGACCCTGGGGTGGAGTATGCCCTGCCTTGCCAATGAAGTCCAGGGTGCAGTGGGCATTCTGGCCTCCTCATGCTCCGGCTGGTTCCCTCTGGCTATGAGATGGTGAATTTTAGATGTCAACTCAACTGGATTAAGAGAGAGCCAGAAACCCAGTAAGGCATTGTTCCCAGGCATATCTGTGAGGCTGGATCCTGAAGAGCTCAGCCTTCCATTCAGTGGACTTGGTGGGAACATCCACCCGACGCAAGGTGGGGTGCACCGTTCAAAGGACTGAAGGCTCAGATACAACAACAAGGCAAAGGAAAGGTGAACTCTTGCCCACTTCCTTTCCTGGAACTGAGACCTCCTTCTTCTGCCTTTGGGCTCAGGACTCCAAGCTCTTTGGCCTTTGCACTTGGGGTCCTACACCAGCATCCTCCAGGGTTCCCAGGCCTTCAGCCTTGGACTGAGAGCTCTACAGCTGGCTGCCCCAATTCTGGGGCCTTTGTACTTGGACTGAACCATACCACCAACTTCTCTGGTTCCCAAGCTGCAGAAGTCATGGGACTTCTCAGCCTCCATAGTTGCATAAACCTAATAAATCCCTCTCATATATACCCATATCTGTTCTTCTATGTATGTCTATTTTTATGGGTCCCATTGGCTCTGTCTCTGGAGAACCCTGACCAGAACAGGGTGGATGGGGCTCTCTCTCCAAGGAAGTTGGGAGGGGCTACTTCCTTCTGGGGAGAAGGAGCAGGCTGCTTTCTTACTGTTCCCAAATCTCAGCTCTTTAAAATGGACAAGAAGAAAAGACCCAGGGCTAGGACAGACCCCAAGAGGCTACACACAGTGAGCCTCCTGTCAGGGTGTGCCAAGGCCAGACTGCACATGCCTGCTTCAAGGAAAGACACCATATCTGCTTGAGTCTATGGTTGACCCAATATAACTAAAAGCCTCCATCCATTTATTGCAAATTTGTATGCATCTGCCACATACCAAGCATTCACTACATGTGGCTTTTCTTGCTGGCACTGAGAACCCACAGAATGGCTGAGATACATACACAAGGAGGGTCTTCAAAATAAACCTACAACAATGGCACCAGAATTGGCACAGGCTTAGAATCTCTCCTACCCTTCCTAGGGAAATGGGTGGAGTAACTAGGATAGAAAAATGAAGATCCAAATCTATGGCAAAAGTCAGTGAGGAAGAATACCGACAAACCCCCAAATGCAAGTGGGTGAGGAAAAATCCCAATCCCCAGGAAGGGCTGCACGGTATCAGAGGAAGCAAAGACAAAGCCTAGGAACTCCTGGGGACTGTGAGAACCACAGAAGCTCAAAACCATGACTGGGCCAAAGCTGGGAGTGACCTCAGCAAGCCCTGGATGGTGTTAAGGACACCCTGGGCCAGCCTAGACCTGGTAACTGCTGAAACTAACAGTGGGTTTCTGGGTTTTTTTTTCAGGACAGCAGTGCACACGAAGGAGAAAATACAAACTGAGACTTCAGATGGAGGAAGGCTGGGACAAGGAGAGCAAAGGAGAGGGGAGTCTTAGAACTTTGCACTGTTGCATATGGAAGCCACCAGCTACGGATGGCCACTCACATGGAAGTTCAATAAATTACTTTTTTTTTTTTGGTACTGGGGAGTGAACTTGGGTTCTTGAGTTGCGAGGCAGGTGCTGGACTAATTTACTTTTAAAATCGAGTTCTGTAGTTGCACTCACCACCTTCCAGTTGCTCAGTAGTCCCCTGGATAGTATGGGGCTGCCATACAATGGAAGCCATATTGGACAGTGCAGCAAAGAACACCTCTGTTGTCCATTTGACTGTGTTTGCCCTCAAAGAGGAGGGGCAAGCAGCGGTCTCTGAAAGTGAGGGGCCGTGTTTTGTATCACTTCAAGGGAAGAGTAAAAAAACAAGGTCTTGAGCAGAAAGCCAGAAGGACACCACACCGTGCCCATTTTCCCTACCCAAGAATCAGGCACAACTCACAGCACGGGGACACAAAGTCTCAGCCAAATTCCCCTACAGAAAGGAAAAGAAAACTAAAGTGTTATCAGACCTTAGAGCAGCAATTTCTCATGCGAAACAAAAAATTTAAATCAATAAATTAAAGCTAGGGCTGGGGATGTAGCTCAGTCGCATCACATCTGCCTGGCAAGAGCAAGGTCCTGAGTTCAATTCCTGGTACCGGAAATTAATTAATTAATTAAAGCAGTCCCAGGAAAGAAAAAAAATGAGTGAAGGATTTTATATCCACACAAACCGAGTTTAGTACAAAGGCTACAGATGAACTTCTAAACATATAAGAAGTTCTCATGAATCCCTCCAAAGGAATCTACAAAAACTCAAGGTAACATCAAAATGATTAGTGTGACATCTACCAAGACCAGTTCTAAGTGTATTTAGTACAAGTGGAGTATCCCTTACCAAAATGCTCAGGACTGGAAGTGCTTCGGCTGTCAGAATCTTTTCAGATTTTAGAATATTGGCACTTAATGAGATATCGAGATGAGTCCAAATATAAAATTCATTTGTTTCATTTATACTTTATATAATAGCCTGTTTCATATTAATCTTGAACATATAGCCAAGTTAATTTCACAGAATACTTTTAGTGTGCTATATTTGACTGTGACTTGTCCCATGAGGTAAGGTGTGGAGTTTTCCACTTGTGGAATTATGTTGACTCAAAAACTTCTGGATTTTGGAACATTTCAAATTAGGGGTTTGGAATTAGAGATGCTCAACCCATATATATAGATAAACATATACTTCCTTTACAAGCATATTTTAGGTTTAAGTAAATATATATAAATATGGTCAAATTATCAAAACAGAGGAGACCGTAAAGAATATTTCAAAACTAAACCAAGCTCGCTAATGACAGGCACTGATCAGAGTAAAGGGTGCAGCAAGGAAAGAGTACAGGTGACCTTGAACAGGCAGCTGTTACCCCAGCTGGAAAAGGGGAAGGAAAACTTTCGTTCCTTATCCTATGGGTCATGAAAATGTGGTCTGTACTCTGACTATCAAGCTCCACTATTCCAAAACTTAGAAAAAGCTTTGGCTTACGCCTCTGAGAGCTGAGGAGGCGAGCAGTTGAGGCTAAGGTGTAAGCTGGAAAGGGAAGGAGCTCCCAAGCCTCTGGAGTCTGCACTGCTCCGCAGAAAGGGGTATCCCAGGATGCACCTGAGCCCGGGCTGTGGAGAAGGCCCCAGCCAGGCTGCTCCCCAAACGCACCAGGCAAGGTGTTAGGAGTGTGGACCCCTCAGGGACCTTGTGCTGCTCCAGACACAAAGTGAGCTAGGGGCAACCTGGGGATGAAAAGGGCAAAGACCCACTGATGGGCAGCATTTCAGAGGCTGGAAGAGAGAGATCAGCTAGGGTGGTGGTCATTTTTGGAGGTCTATACCTAGCAGCTATAGGGTTAAGTAGCTCCCACAGGACCAGAGGAGCCAAATCTAGTTTCCTGGAGACCTCAAAGAGCCATCTCAGTTGGGTGTGTGGTGCACATCAATAATTCTAGGCCTGTGGGAGGCCGAGGCAGGAAAAGCACAAGTTCAAGCACACTCTAAGCAATGTAGTGACTTAGAGAGAATTTGTCTTAAAATCTTAAAAAGTGCTGGGGATGTAGCTCAGTGAGAAGGCCCTGGGTTCAATCTGCCATACTGAAAGAAAATAAAGAAAGAATGAGGAGAAAGAGAGAGAAAAGGAGGGAGGAAGAAGAAAAGAGAGACAAAGGAAAAAGAGAGAGAGAAGGAAGGAAAGAGAATGGGAAAGAGCTATCCTTCTTCCTTCCCCAGTAGGAGGGGATGTGACTGTCTTATGAACCAGCCAAGTCACACTGACCAAGGCACACTCAAGACCTTCGCAGAAGCTGGGTTCCCACCCTCAGGAGCACAGGTACTCCAAGAGCCTCCAGCACTGAGCTGGTCTGTGACACCTCGACCATCACTGTGGCTGTGTCCCTGATTCCCTCTCCGAGCAACTCTGCTCTCCATTTGTCAATTTTAAGTGATAATTTCTATTCAATCTGATACATATTATAAGAATATAAACAAATGCCTCTCCCCCTATCGGCACCATAATCACTTTCTTTTATAGCTATCATTTATTACAGGACGACAGATGGCCAGTTTGCGGAATTCCAAAGAGGCTACCCGCCAGCCAGTCACCTGGGAACACGGGTGCATTTACATTTCTCCAAAACAGATGGGAGAGGGAGTGGGGGAGGAGGAAAATTCCTGTCAAAACTTTGGTGCTTCCCAAAATGCGTTTCTTTTGCCTTTCCCTCTGTCCCCCTGCCTTTCTCACAGATGGTACTTTGCCCCTCGTGCTCATACCACACCTCCTCATGTCCTCCCACTCATGCATGTCCCACCAGTGGTAACTGAAACCACCAATATGGCGGCCTGGATGGGTGGAGACTGGGTGAGCTCTTAGCAGGCCACGTTTAGGGGACTTCCAGCCTCGCTTCCTGTCTTACCACTTAGGATTGGGACTGAGGTAGAGGCCAGAGAAGGGTAGGACAGGAGTCATTTCACAGACAGATACTGGAGTTTGCATTTTCCACAAAACTGCAGAGCAGTGGTTCTCAGCCCTGGTACGTATGGCGTCACCTGAGGAAGTTTTAAGAAATATTAATGCCAGAGCCCCACCCAGATGATTACATCAGAAAGCCTGGCAAGGTGTTCATCTGCAGTTGGGATCCCACTGTGCCAGAAACAGAGGAAAAAAAAAAAAGAGATAGTACCAAGGCAAAAACTGAAGAAGCAATAGAGATGAGGAACTACTGTGTGCCAGGAGTGGTAAGGGCTACAAAGTTGGATCTCAGTGATACAAGATCCTTGCTCCCGTCCCAGGAGTCAGTAAAATGCAGAGAGTAAGTTCAGGGTGAGATGGGAGAGAGCCCACTGGTGGGGTCTCAGGGATGTCTCCCTACAAGATGATGGCATCCTGAGTGAAGGAAGCAGAGAAATAAGAGAATACCTGTGTGACCCTGAAGTAAGGAATGATTTCCCTAGACACAAGGAGTAGGAGCCATACAGCAAATGATTGATATATTTGCCTACATTGCAATCAAGATCCTTTGTCACAGTGAGAATGAAAGGAAAGCCACAAACAAGGAAATACTTGTAACACGGGTAACTAATGATAGAGGATTAATATGCAGAAAACGCAAAGAAGAATATGAATTAACTGGAAAAAAACACAGCCCAGTCAACACGTGGGCAAAGGACATGGGAAAGAAACAAACACTGAAGGAAACAAGAAAAGACCCGTGAGCATAAAAGAGAAAAAAACCTTAAATCAACAGTGATCTGTGAAATGCAAACTACAGCCATGAGAAGACATCATGCTATACCCACTTACTTGGCAGAACGGGTCTGACATCATCAAGTGTGCTGATCATATAGAGGGTGGTGGGTGTGTAAGCTGGTAGGACCACATCGGGAAAGCCATTGTGTGGCGCCCGCTAAGGCTGATCGCTTGCACGCTGTACCACCCAGCCCTTTTAATCTCTGTACATACAGGGAAAAAAATTTGCATATGTGCCCAGAGATGCACATAAGATTCTTCATAGCAACATTGTTCATAATGGCAAAATACTAGAAGCAACACGAAAGTTCACTGACAGCAACACGGACAAATAAATATTGGCAAAATCAAACAGTGAAAGCCAATACGATTGTAAAACCAGACAATAGCCACAAGCATCAACAGGGATAAAGTGCACCACAGTGTTGAAGGAGAACAACGAATTACAGGAGAATACATTAACCAGACTTCTGGCACGTAAAATTCAAAACCAGGCATGATTAAGTCATGTATTATTCAGGGCTACACTCAGATGAGGTAAAACTGTGAAGTCAAAGAACACAGAACACAAACTCCCATGGTTCTCAGAGGCCATGAGAATGCCATACATATGGTGGGCAGTGATCAAAGATAGTTCTTAAACTGAGTAGTGGGTCCATTCTATTATCACTCCCTCAATACTTATATGTATGGTCTATCTCATAAGAAAAAGTATTTAAACAAAACAAGAGAAATGTTACATGCCAAAGCTCCTACTATAAATATTGCTCTTTATTCAGATTAGACAAGAAAATCACCTGGTTTGGTCTCTTTTTCTTCCATCTTTTTTTCTTCCTCTTTTTCATCCATCTTTCCTTAGCTCATGGAAATGTCCTCGGGGACTGGTATCCAACATAGTAGACACTATAGCTGATTTCCAGCTGAGGCCAGGCTCTGGGGTTTGGAAGAGTCCATGCCCCGCAGATCCGTCTGGACTGGGTGTGCATCAGCCAGAGGGTCAATACGAACCTGTCTTCCAACCATCCTGGGTCAGGCCTGGGAGAATCAGTGGCCAGAGCCTGCCTGGAGCACATAGCCAGCTAGTGCGGAGCAGGACAAATGATCCATCAAGGTAGCCACTAAAATAAACATCAAGAAGAGACAGGTACATGGCACTGCACTTGTGTGTTGGGAGCATTGCATGTGTTGATAGCTGGGATGTTGGCAATGGGGACTACACATGATATTCTTATTTCTTGGGATCTGTTGCAGTTTATATGTAGATGT